AAAATTCTGGATGATACAGAAATTTGTTAACATGAGTGGAGGCACTGCTGTGACTGTAGTTAACCATGTGGTCCAGAGGTTTTTAGAATTGATTTACAGGACGAATTTGGAAAGGTTTAGAGATGTGGGCTACTGTCAGCCTTGGAATGCTGTAAGTAGAGATTGGTGGGACATTCTGATTAGAGCTGAGAAGCCCAGATGCTGAACAATGAGTACCAGGGTCATGAGGCTTCAAACTGAGAAATGGACTACAGCTCACAAGAGTTACATTCTGCCAAAGAGTTAATAGTTTTTCTGTATCCTTAAAGCATTATGTGAGGCTGAATATGAGGATGGTGAATCCCTGATCTAGTGAAGAAAACGTCAAGGCAGCCTAGCATTCAGGCATGGGTGCTACTAGCTGATTTTAGACAGATCTGCAATAAGACACAGGAACAAAAATCAGTCCTTATTGGTTTAAAAATTTTCAGGTTTTCCAACAAGGAAGCACATGAAAAGCAGGAGACAGGGAGAACATGATTGCTGAAATCACGAGCATTAAAAAGAAGGCAAGTACTTTGCATGAGAACAGTGGAAAAGGTGTCTCAAAGTCATCTTGGAAAATATCACCCATTACAGCCTCGTAAAGGGTAAACTTCACTGAAAGACTTTCCTTTGAGAAGAGACCCTGCAGTACTGTGCTCCTTCAGGGATGCCTAGGGAAGTGTATTGCTGAATTCAGACCGCAGGGACTCAGAGATGGATGCAGCTTCTGTTCAATAAGGCCAAGCTATTTGTTCAGCTGGCCATGGGCCTTGTCATCACTCATGTGGTATTATTTCTTCAGGTATGCATAATGCAACAGTTGTGGAGTCATGGAGTCTTTTGTTCAGATTTCAGAAAAAGACCTTGGAGCCCTGTTAATATGATATGAAAGGATCATGGTTCCTATCAGTAATCCAAGGGAAGAAAATGCAGAAAGCTTTAAGAGTGAGGCCCAAATGCAGTGGAGGCTCCAGGAAGCGGCTGATGGCAGGAATATGGAACATTCGCTGAGGAATGAATACCTTGGGCTCTGAATGGAGCAGGAACAAGTCAGGGCATGTGTGTTGTAAGCTGAAAAATTATAGTGGCAGGAATGTCCAAGTGCTTCAGAGCTTAGATCTTACCACAATCTGCTTCCTATGCTAGACACAGAGGTACAGGATTTAACATTTGTCCTGCTGAATTTCATCTTGCTTTGACCAATTTCTTTCTAATCTCCTATGCCTCCCTTTTGGAATGTTTACCTGTGATATTGTATATTGAAAGTATTTTCTTTTTGATTTTTTCAGGAACTCTTAGCTAAGAGTTTGCCTTGAGTCCCAAAGGAGACTTTGGACTTAAATTTTCAGCAATGATGGAGATATTAAAATTTTGGAGATTCTCAGAGATGTACTAAGTGCATTCTAAATAAATGAGACTGACGTGAGCTTCTTTGGGGGGGGGATGAGGGGCAGAATGCTTCAGTGTAGATTTAGAATGTTCTTCCAAAAGATTCACAGGATTTGGGAAAGATGATTTGATTATGGGGTGGCACTACATTCATCAGCCAAATCATCTACTGATGAGTTCCCAGATGAATATGTGGTTGGGGGTGGGACCTGGATGGGAGAGGTGGGTCCCTGGGAGAGTGACTTAGAAGGGTACATTTTTTCCCCAGCTCCTCCCTTCTTTTTCTGATTTCTGGGTGACCTGGTTAAGCAGCTTTTACCCAAAATGCCCTTTCACCATGCTGTTTCTGCCTTGCAGCCAGATGATTATAACCTAAATCTGAAGTCAAAATAAACCTCCAGTTTTTTGTAAAGCTGTGGACATTGGGTACTTTGTCCCAGCAGGAGCAAGGTATCTACGATCTTAAGTAGTAGTGATGAATGTGTGTTGTGTCACCATTTTAACTCATTTTTTTTTTCACCTTGCTTAATTTCTTCTCTAGCTGCTCTTATCACTGAAAGCTATGGTGACTCATGAGATAGGGTAAGCTGTCCCTTTTGGCTGACATTTATGAAAGTGCAAGGTGGTAGGTAAACTGAGGTACACTTTCTTAAACCCTTGATCCACAAGGATAGCCAGCACTAAACAAGCAAATCCCTCTGTGTTTCCTAGCTAATGCAGTTATATTAATATCAACACAGTTCTTCCAAAAATAAAGAATACATTTCATAAGGATAAAAGGTCACTTTGTCAAGAAAATGTGTCTTAAAACTCTAAGAGAAGTTCATAATTTGTGATATAAAGAAGTTTAATGAAATCTGCAAGTATGATTGAGTGTTTTAAAAATTTTACAAACAGCAATAATACAAAGGCTAGAAAATGTTAAAAGGATCTATAACTTAAGAATTAAGAACATAAAAGAAGAAATAGGGACACAAACAAATGAACTACAAAAGCTATTCACAGAAATAATCCAGGAGATTTTTCCTAATTTAGCAAAAGGTAAAGATACCTAGATGTATGAGGCATGCAGGACCCCAGCTACCTACAACCAAAACAGAGCTATATCCAGGCATATAATAATCAAAATACCAGAAATCTAATATAAGAACAGAATATTAAAAGCTGTCAGAGACAAGAAACAGATCACTTACAAGGGAACACCCATCAGAATTACAGCAGACTTCTGGGCACAAACCATTAAATCACAAAGTGTGTGGAGGGAAATAATTCAAGTTTTGAAAGATAATAACCTCCAGCCAAGATTGATATATGCTGCACAACTGTCCCTAGAAATTGATGGAAAAACAAGGTGCTTCCAGGATAAAGAGGAACTAGGGGAATTTGCAACCACCAATTCAACTCTACAGAGAATACTTCAGGACATTCTAAAAAAGAAAAATACCAAGATTCCAGAAACAGTGGCAGAGAGACCACAATGAATGGAGCAGAACGTGAAATGAAGAAGACAAACTGACAGCTAATGACAGAAAAAGAGCTCAGCAGAAATGAGGCGTTGTTTTGTTGTTATTCCCTCTTTTATCTCAATCTCCTTTTTTATTATTTACTTTTTTATCTTTTTAGTTAAGGGAAAAATAAATAAAAATATCAGGATATATTATAGTAACCCATTTTGATTTCCTATTAACTTGATTTGAAACCCTGAATTGCCCTCACATCTTGTTTTGACTGATTTTCCTCTATTCTGTTTTGCTTGAGAGTACCAAGTTCAAAAGTATAGGCAACGACTGTGAAGACATTAAGATTCATTATGATGCCCATTCTGGTTGATTGTTATCGTCTTATGAAGTCCTGTAATATCTCTAGGGTTTTGGTTTATTGGTTTTATTCTTTACTGTTTTATTCAATTTTATTATAACTGATAATATAGGCAATTCTTTTTAGAGGCAGTATGCAAGAGGCAGTATGGTAACCATTGTTGATTACCTTGTATTTTGTTTTACATTATGTATTATGTCCATTCTTTTGATTTGACAGACTCTGTTCTGCTATGTCACATTTGGTTTTACTCTCTTCAAAAAAAAAGTAATAAGAACTGTGGGAGTAATAAAACCCAAAATGTGTAATTGTCTTTGTACAAAACAGAGGAAAAGAAAGTGCTTTAAAGGATATAGCTTTATGTATATTTAAGTGTATAAGACAGATAACGATATTACTGAGTTTTGTTGGATCATTGAACATAACTGTTTGTAGTCTCACTGTTTGAAAGTCCACTTTATATGCTTTAATTTTGTGACTTGAACAATGATTTATAAGATGACAATATGTAATCTATTAACCAGTGATTTCCTACTGTTTATTTTTTTTTGAAATTCTGTATAACTTGTGCCCTTTTTCTGTTTTTTTTCTTTTTCTCCTTAAATAAAAATTTTAAAAAATTATAATTCAAAAGAGCAGATATATTAACATCTGCTAAAATAACAAAAAAAATTGTACACCCAATAATTGATAGAAGATCTAGGAAAAAATATCACTAAAGGTATGAATTACTATCAATATATTTATATCAACATTAATAAATATTAAACCCTACCCTGCACAATATAATGTTGTTATAGAGTATTCATAGGATAATCCCCAATATAAGAGAACAGAAGAGAACAAAGCATGTCTCACTAAATTAAATACAGGAAAATTAATCTTACCATGTGCATTTGCTAACCACAGTAAATTTACATTAAAAGCAATACAATATATTAAAAACTACAGATATTTTGAAATGAAGTGTAAAACGTTTTATTGCTACAACATTCGAAATGAATACCATGAAACACTGTATGCAACACTATGAACCACAGGGAAATAAAGAAAACTCTCCACTAAATTGGTCAAGAAAATTAACTCTGAACACTAATTAATTATTTTGAAATTTAGTGTTCGTATGACTTCTTAAGTTCCCTTCTGTATTGACCCTAAGGAAAGATGTATTCAACAGTACCTGTATTGACCCTAAGGAAAGATGTATTCAACGAACCCTTTTTGGGTAGCCTCGGCTCTTAGATCATTATTCAATATTATTGCAATGGTCCCATTTGTAAAACTCCCCTAAACATCTTCTCAATGTCTTTCTGGAACAGGAGAAGGGAATGACAAAGGTCTGCAAATGTAAAATAAACACTTTTTCTACATATGTTAATGCCACTATTTATTGGCTATTTACTCAGCTCTGATGTAATTGGGGCCATTAGGGAAGCAGCAGCTCAGACTCTGTCAATATCTGACCTTTAAAGCAGTGGGGACATTCTGTGTTGCTGGATATAGCTGTTGTTGAAGTGCAAGGAAGGACCAGAGGTGCCATTCCTGGTCAAAACTTTCTGGAAAATTTTTTTTTTTCTGCTGCAGACATGATGTTTCAAGAATCAGACAAAATACATTTCATGGAAAATCTATTTTGAGTTCGACATTCATTTGAAAAGCTAAAACTAGCACCCGGATAAAAAAAGGAAGGGATGAAACATCAAACTGAAAATATCTCCCTATATTATGACATTTTAGCAAGTGTAAATGAAATCACCTTTAAGACTGTCGCAAGCAAAGAAATTCAACTGGGGTCTTGATGACTGAAGGAATGTTAAAAAATCTCTCATCAGCAGACCATAAAGAATAAAGCAAAAGCTATCAGTACTGTGCAGATGTTATCAGGATGTGACTTCAGCACAACCCTGATTCCCGACAGAGAGACAAAACTGCAGATGTTTAATGTATTACAGGAACTAACCGCAAATTCTATTTTGCTTCTCCTACTTTGTGTTTAATTTTTTTAAGACACATGAATTGCACTTTGCAAGAACTTCCTTCAATCTTACTTTGAAAGTCTAAATGCTTACTACTGAGACACAGAGAGTTCTGGGTAAGTAGCATGCAAATAATTGTGATTGTGGACAGTGTGAAATATATGGAGAGGGAGGGTGTGTGTTTGCATTCATATGGGGAGAGAGTTCTCATTATTTTGTGTTAATGGATGCAGAGGTGTGAGAGATAGAGACCAAGCACTGATTTGGCAGCAAACCGACTTTAAATTTAATGCTTATGTCTTGGAAAGAAAAGAAGAATAGAAACTCAGACTTGTTAAACAAATTTGGAATATAAAATGGATAGTTCTTCTCAGATGATTTTTTTCTTTTTCCAGGATATAAAGTAGCAATTTAATAGATTATATAGTTTCAAAAAGAATCATTTATATTTCACTACCACTTTTCTGTGAGAATGCTTTTTGAAGGACCATTGAGTTTTATATGTTTGAAATCAATGAATTATAAAATCATGAAGTTGTGTACTAAGACAAAATGTATCTTTCATCATGATTAGTTTAGAAATACATATTTCCCAGGAAAATCCTGGTTCCCAAAAACTCCACCATCTGTTCTGCCAGTGCAGTTTTGCTCCCAGTTCTATAAGTGGGCATCAGGGAAGAGGGAGCAGATCTATTTGTTGGTGCCCTCTCCTGCCTGGCACAGGGCTCTGTCCCCTCAGCTGCCCCCTACTTCTCCAGTGGAGTTTGTGTCCCCTCCCTATGCAACCTGCAGGACAAAAGGCCTTCAGGGTCTTGGGCCAAGAACCTAACATTAGCTGGATCACATGAAAATCACAAAGGATTTTGAAAATCACAAAACAAAAGCAGACATAGGAGAAGATACTTTTATTTCTGACATAACAGGATATCCTCTAAGATTATAAACATACATCACCCTAATTCATCTGGGATGGGCCTTTCTTTCTGGTAAAATGGAATTTACATTTGAGAAAGTAGACATCAGAAAACACCCCAAAGACCTGCACTCTACATTCAGATAGAGATGATGAAGTCTGGGTTTCATATAGCTGAAAACTCAGAGAACTTATATGGAATGAAGGCGGGGTTAATGTGTGTTCTCAAGATAATTTCCTATAAGATAAAGGAAAGAATAAGGTTTAAAAAAAACTGCTGGCAATATATTACACTTTCCAAAGGAAAGAGTCAGAAGAGATTCGAGATTAAAAATAAAAGAGAGTCCTTTTTTTTTTTTTTATCTTACAGAGTGAAATCATTCTAATCTGATATTTTGAAAACAAACAAAACCAAACACAAAAACAATTCTTGGTTTTACAGTACATTTACAGACTTCTATCCATATGGTTTTAATTCGGTAGTAAGTAAGCACAGTGAATCTTTAAAGGTTGGTTTCTAGTGGGCCCGATGTGTTCTTTTTATATTTCTATTCATAATGTCTAAAACAATTTGGTCCCCTGACATTGTCTGCTAATCTTGGTTGAACTAAACTGCTGAGCAAGAGGAAAGAACCTTATTCTGGATACTGAGTAAAATATGTTTCAAATATTTGAATACAGCAACACTCTCTGTCTAAAAGTCCATCTCAGCTTTTAACTTCACGCAGTTTTTATGCCAGCATAGACACCAGACGGAATGCAAACATTTCTTAGAGTAAGGTGGTTCCATGTTTTCCCAAGATGTGACCAGATGAAAAACTCAAAGACATTTTGAGGAGATGCAATCTGCCATGGGGATTACCACAATGCTTGTAGGATCAAAGAAAATTTCACATTTTACCCTGGTGATTAGCTGTAATTAAATAAAGTAAGTCTTTTTAAACTTCATTAGCAGCAAGACGTTTGCTACAGCAGAGTGGGCACAAATCATCCATTCTTAATTAAAAGATAATCCACAAGATGGCCATAATCTTCTAAAAATACAGCATTTCCCCTGAAAGATTTTCTCGTCAAATAAGGATAAATAACAGTTTCTATGAGTTTAAGCCATGAAGCAGTGGAGGCTCCTCCCATTTGCTTGAGTGAGGGCTGAAAGTGGCGGTAACATCACTTTGGCATGCTATTATCTAAAATGGTGGAATACCTCACTTCAGCAAAGTCTGACATAAATCTTTGAAAACAAAGACATTGCATATGTATGAGCTGAAATAGATATGACAGTGTTGGCACATTAATATTCCTGTCACTAGGGGGTTTCAAACTTTTAAGGAATGGATGGGAATGAATTCAGACTAGAGCTGGTAAAATACAGCCACATGCAGTAGGACAATTAGGCGTCACCCTCCATAGTAAAATATGTGCAGAGAAAGGGTTCCCCTGCTCCTGGGTTTTGGTTAAAAAACAAAACCAAAAAAAAAAAAAAAAAAAAAAAAACGAACCTATGATTGTCTCTTGGGAATGCCAAGAATAATTAATTTGTTTTAGAGATTTGCATGGTTGTTTAGAGTGTACTAATATGAATATTCCATGCAGACCAGTTCCAATCAATAGAAAAGAGAACTGTTTATTCTTGAGTAGCCACTGTGTGGTGGTTCATGGGTAGCAGATGTTTTCACTTAATCCACAACAACCCTCGTTAAAAGTAAGTGTGGGACCTAATTGAATAGTTCTCCACATCTTTCAGAAAATAGTTCTTTTATGTTCTATAAGTACTTTTTTTTCCCTGAGTTTAGTTGCAGATATGAAACGCTTGTCCTTAGACATCTTAGATAACTTCTCTCCACATAAACTGCCTTTTGCCCTTTATTCCTCTGTACAGACTTCCTATGTATTGGAAAGCACCGACTTAGGAAAAGAATGTCAACCAGCTTTGGAAAAGCCTTATAAATCATCATGTTCTAGAAAAATCACCACTTACCAAGCATGATGACATAACACCTATATCAGCTTTCATTCTTTATGGGATTGGGCAAGCGTTACTCAACACTGGATCCCAATGAAACACAGCCACTAAGTCACAGTCCTAGTGTTTGGAGCTGATGGTGAAATGTTAGAAGTTTGCTTTTGGTAAAACATATGTGTTGATCTGGTGAGTGGAAATGCGGGGCTGCTTAAAAGGCTTTTTACCAAAGCCTTTTTGAACACATTACTGCAATGCTGGGAGGCTTGGTGTGAGCTGACAGCGGTCTCCCAGATAGAGGGAGAAAAAAAGGCTTCAGACCTCTCCTTTGACAAAGACACATGAAATAATATCTGACAAAGAAATCTCAAGCACACATGATGGCAAATCAGTAATTATATGGGCTATGAAGGAGAGCCCATTGCACTCGCAAATACCTTTATTTTTCTTCAGATTTTACTCATAACATCTCATAGAGATGCTTAGGTCGGTGTTTTTAAAAACAATTTAATATATGACTGTGATTTGGGTTTGGTTGAACTCCTTTATTACACTAATGCTATTTGTCACTCCATGCATGTGTCAGCATTGTTTTTGAATGGCAAAAGGGGAGAGTGAACTAAAGCACAAAGACAGGCTTTTGCAGCTCTCTCTATGCAACTTTACTTTAGAAAGAAAGAAATATTCCACGGAGATAAGGTCTGTGACACTTGGAAAATACTATTATCTCTTAAATGGCACACACATTAAAAATGCCCGAAAATTAAATAATGTTGGCAAAAATGGCAGCAAACTGACCAAATGCTACTTGTACAGCTTCACTCTTTAATTTTAGGTTCTTAGTAATATATGACTATAGATCATTACAGAAAATAGAAGAGAAAAGCACTTTTCCAAAGGTATTAAAATTTCAATCTTAAAATATTTGCTTTTTTTGACAAAATATTATGCCATGAAGAATTTACTCATAGAAAATGAGTCTTTACCCTATCTTGCAAATAAATCTCATTAAAAACATATAAACCCAATGAATTGAAGCTAAAGTTTTAACCAGGATGAATAATAATAATAATAAATGGAATGGAACATGAACTTCACAAATGATTGAAATATATTCTTCCTCAAAATGTCTGATTTTTATTTCCTAAAAATAAATTTGCTACTGACCAAGGCTATACTGTATCTTAAGAAAAATGTTTATGATATATTATTAGGATGAATTATATATGAAAGCAAAGATAGTTGATTTTAAAAAATTCCTCTATTTTATGTTATTTATTGTAGTAAAATAATGAATTACAGTGTTGGCTTCTTTCCTTGACGTATTTGAGATGTTTTACATGACTTTGAAATGGCTTAAATATTCCAACACCCACTACCAAATGTGCTAAAAAGGAGAAAAAAATCCTGCCATTTACTTTGTCCAAGGTCATTTCTTATTGTCTTATCCAGTAGCTGGAAGGAAGAACTAGGGTAAACTGTATAAAAGGAAAGAAAAAAAGATAGTCACATATATTAAAATTATTGAGTTGCATTAGAAGGTGCTTGATAAGTGTCACATATTCCTTTCTATGGAGATATCACAAACTTCCTAATATCTACATGTGCTAATAAAGTGACTCGCACAGTGCTATCGGAATGGATGCTGCTGAAATATCTGTAAACACCAGTTGCCATTTGTAAAAGCACTGGACAGATGTAGTGTGTTTCCAACTTCATTCATACAAAGAACTTTATACCTTCATTATTTCTTTCTTAGGCCAACCTCTTGCATCAGGTCATACACCTTGAATTTAGTGTAATATTATGTTCTCTAATGGCTATGAAACTGCTGGAATCTCAACAATCCACTAATAAAGTAATCATATGCCTTTGTGTATTATGTATATTGGACCTGTTATCACTTAAAATCTCATAGAAACTAGTAGTTATTAAAGCACTTCAAATATACAAACCTGCTTGATTTCAAAGATAAAACATGATATATGCTTCTTTATTTGCATTAAACATTCATCTCATTTTCAGCATATTATTCTCGTTTTCTTTCTTTGACTTAAAGAAGTATGATCAAGGGTTTGATTCTATATGACCTTGATACATTTAGTAGGATAGTCAATTTGTGTGAAATGTGGAACATGAATATCTACAAATCAAATTTGAATTTGGTATTACCAATGGAGAAGTCACATTATAATACTGGCACCATTTAATCTCACATACTAAGCTATTTCATTACCTAGCAA